ATACCGTACCGTACCGTACCGTGCCCACCCCTAGTGGAAACTCTGTACATCAGGGACTACCTGTGCAGACCTACGCCCAGGGACCTGCAACAGCTTCTACAAAAAGCTGAGTCTCGTGGATTTCCTGGAATGATTGGTAGCATTGACTGCATGCACTAGTAATGGAAAAATTGTCCAACTGCTTGGCAAGGGGATTATAGCAATCGAAAATGGCAGAAAAGCATCATTCTAGAAGCAGTTGCTGGTTTTGATACATGGGTTTGGTGCGCCTTATTTGGAGTTGCCAGCTCTCAAAACGATTTGAATGTCCTGGGTCAATCCCCGATGTTCAATGATGTTCTGAGAGGTGAACGCCCAAATATCACATATTAAATCAATAATACCGTCTACCAGAACGGGTATTATCTAGCTGATGGTATCTACCCGAGGTGGAGAGGTGCTTTGGTATCCTTCAAGCCCCGTGGGCTATTATCAAGGGTGCGGCGCGTCTATTTGACGAGGAGGTTCTTAGAAGTATAATGATAACTTGTATCATCCTCTACAACATGATTGTGGAAGATGAGTATGATTACGATGCTGATGAAGTGCATGAACTAGATCCCGTGAACACGACCTTAACACAAATTTATGAAAAACCTATGGGGCCAAATGGAGAGCCAGTGTAGCATGATCCGTTGGTTAGAGATGGTAGTTTCATGCCTCGTATGATTTAGCGCTACACGGAGATGCAATCGTCGTATATTCATGAATGCCGTCAAGTTAACTTGATGGAGTATTTGTGGGCGGTGAAAGGCAATGAAGGTGAATGAAGTGAAGTGAAGATGTTTTTTTTTTTAAAAAAAAATGTATTATGTTTATGTTGTATTTTTAGTTATGTTTTGTTTGTTTTTTTATGCTTTAGTTGTTGTTTGTTTATTTTTTATGCTTTGGTTGTGGTTTGCTTTTTATGTTTGGAATGTTTTGAATAAAAAGGAATTTTGTTGAATATTTTCTTTATTCACTAAAAGAAAATCAATACAACTTATAAAATAAAATACATGAATTACCACTAATTTTTTAAACAAAACAAAAAATACAATGAAATGAAAGGCAATCAAACTAACTTAATGGTACAATGACATGAAAGACAAGCAAACTAACTTAATGGTTTTGATCATTTAACCAATCCGTGTTGCTAGGTCCATCGTCACAAAAAAATCTTCTTCTCATAACATCCTTTTGTTCTAGCTTCCAAAATTATTTTGTTTCAGAGGACATATGGCTTGTAACCATGGCCATGGTTTCCCGATCCTTTTTTTCAATCTTTTCTTGGCATGCATACTCCATTTCTTGGCGTACATACTCCCTTTTCTTTTGCATATTCTACACAAGGATTGAAATATCGGCCGATACACCGATATATCAATATTTTGAACTGTCGACACCGATATTGGGGGATAAGGCCATATCTTCCCCGATATCGACGATATATCCCCGATAAGTGCGATATCCCCGATATTTTGTCGATATTCCCGATATTTCCCGATACCCATAACAAAATCCAAAACAATTCAAAAGTTTTGAAGCAAATTGAAACTGAAAAGATTTTTTGGAGGTATATGTGCAGTGATTAGATATATGCGTGAAGGCTTTTGGCAATATTCAATTCAAAAGATGTTTTGGAGTATGCATCAAAAGAATCTAGACCTAGTACTAACTTAAATGAATCTTATGATGGCTATGGTTATGTCATGTCTGATTATAGTGAAACTAGATATGGAGCTCAAGATGATGAAACAGATTATGGACCTACTATTTGGGTTAATCCTAACTATCTCATATATGGGATGATAGTAGGGAGCTTAAGAGAGACATATGTGCACCATGTTCAAACATGGCTTACAAATTACTTGGGTTACATGACTTGGTATGATTATTGTATGAATCTAGATGGTTGTTCCACATTGTTTGAACCTCATAGGAGCTCTTCATTTATGTAGTTGGACACTCATCTAAATTGTAATCCAATGTTCAAATAAACTATGGATTTATGCATGGTTTATTCATTCTAATCAACTTTTTATTTTCAAACTTTTCATTAACGCGTATTACATACCACTTATATTTCAT